ATACGGTAAAGGTTAGTGTTTGGATCTAAATTATTTCAAAATAACAAACCAAACATCCCCATGACTTTCTAAGTAATATTAAATATCGTTAATATGAGGATATTCTACATAGCTCCATTCCAGACAGCATGATAGTTGGCCTTTTCATTAGCCATTGTAGCCAATGTTAACCTTCCAACACAGCCAGTGCTCAAAGCTGACCTTCGACCTAAACTTATAGATATGTAACAACATAATGTTTCAAAATATACCATAATATGATGGTCCATAGAGTATCCCATTAACAAGGTTCTAGTCCTTACCAGTCTTTATTTGACTAAGGTTGTCTTAAAAATACAATATAAAGGTGGTCGGGTGGTGCAGTGGATAGCGCACTTGACTTTCACCAAGGCGGCCGGGGTTCGATTCCTCGTGAAAAGGTATGGGGTGACCTGCCTGATCACGTGGGTTTTCTCCGTGTACTCCGGTTTCCTCCAACACAAAGACACCCCGCACGTTAACATCCGGGCCAACAAGAGTGATTTATATAAGTTGAATAACTTGTTTCATAATTGTTGAAAAAAAAAAGTTTTTTTAAAATACTTCTAAGATGATTGGTAAGTGTAAACTTTATAACACTCTATCCCAAGAACATACTGTACTAGCCAAGTATCATGACCTCAGATTCCTAGTCTTTTGATCAGTTTAGGCAAGGTTAACCTTTGACCCCAGCCAGCACTAATACCCTAAAGAAGAGGAAGAATACAGGCACTGTTGGTCTACATAACATACCTTAGCGTCATGGTTTTAGACATACGGTTATTTAACATTGTTTGAACTTTCTTGACCTTGACGTTAGGTGAGGGTCATTTATACCAGGACCCTGATATTCAAGAAGTTGTTCAAAGAAAAATGTATATGGATGGATAACAGTAGCTATGCCATACACTACAATCACCGGAACTTAATACCAGGCGAGTTAAAAACAACAGAATTCATAGTAATGAGCAAGACATTTATTGCCATTCAGTAAAATTAAAACCAGTAAGGTATACAAAAATAGAATTAACAAGACTTTGTTTTTAAAACTTTTTAAAAAAGAGTAACAAACATAAAAAAGTTCTCTTTTTATAAATTTCACATTCAACATTTTAAAATCAGTATTTACAAACAGTTGTCATCGTTTTACAAGGAAGATGTTAATTGTTTAATCATGAAATATCTAAGTACATTTGTAATACAATTTGGTTGCAAGTAAAACATGACTACCTGGTACAATGACAGCTCATCAATAGTAATGATACATTGTATGTGGTATTTTGCTACATTATTTAATCAATCTAGTATCAAAGTATCATGTCCACCATCCTTGATATAGTCCCGGGGTTACGCTCACTCTCCCTCTCTACACCCCTAGAATATATAGGTCACAGCAAAAGTGAAGGCTCGCTGTGTGCCACATTGTGGATTGGATGAGACAAGAATACTAGTTTGATCCTTTGATGTACATCAAAAGAATCTTGCGGTCATGTAACAGTAAAAAATAACAGGCTTTGAAGTTGGGCGTCTCTCCTCTGTAATCTTCAAAAGACAGGTATCAGCCTAGCATATGGTCAGGTGTTTTTTTACTGGAGACCGATCAAACAGCTATCTTCGTGCCCTCAATCTTGCCACGACATATTCCAAGGCACCGGTGCAGAGAGCGAAAATGAGCATAACCCTTGGATATCGAGGATGTGCTAATATAGGCGTTGTTAAGCTAAATTAAAGTTAAGGTAGAAACATTGGTTTTCTGAGCAAAAATGAGCGTAACGCCTGGATATCGAGGATGCATATCCACCTACATATATAAAAGAATTCTTCAAATGATGTTTTATATTAAAGGTTTTTAAATGTACAGGGATGATCAATTTCACATCTACAAACTTACTTGTTCAAAGTGAAAACCTGAACAATATGCAAACTGCTGTATCAACATCACTTGTATTAAATATAACTACATGTACATATAATTAAATAGATTTCATAAAAATATAACAAATATCATACCTTTTTACAAAAGTACAAGTTTTTTCATGTCAACATGTTACAATAATTAGATTATTGACACAAATGTACCGGTCATAGCTGTTAATGTTAACTATCTAATATGTAATTTTACATTTGACAACTTGGATTTTTTATAGAAAGGTATTAAAATATTACGTATGACAACTTTTATTTATTTACAATTGAGTTATCAATATAACTGTTTCACTGAGTTGCAATATTAAGCATAAATTCATTGGACTATGTTAACAGAAAGCCCATCCATGCATTCATTTGTACAAATTTACACATAATTATAAAACTTATTTTTACACAAGATACTTTGTAATTCATGGTTATATCTAGTACATTTAAAGCATTTATTAAAACCTCTGTTGTCTGATGGAAATCAAGCAGTGCATGACTTGTAGTAGTGCCTCAAATTACTTCGACACGCACCACATATATATACCGTAAACAGGTGTATTTGCACATCTACACAAAATTGAAATTTGATTGACATACTTGTATATATATACACTGAACAAGGGTTAAAACATTGTGTTATTTTGTTACTATTTTTAAGCTGTTTATAATGACAACAAAAGATACCGATATGGTTCTACAATTTTTAAAAGCAAAACTTGTATATAAATATTCTTGCAATTTTTGTAAGCTGGTTTGAATAGGCTAGGACTTAACACTGATTTTATTAATTCTAACAGCAACTGCTTTAAAATCAAATATCACTAGGGGTTTATTCTCAAGATGTTTTAATAGGAGAGTAATTCTGCCTTTAACAGTGCTTCTTCTAACAAGAGGCCCATGGGCCTTAACGGTCACCTGAGTCTATAGTATTTATTTTTGTTGTTGAAATATGTACCAATTTGAGTAAAAAATAGTATAATGTTAACTTAACTTTGTCAGGACCATGAGCTGATCATTCCTAGACCAATTTTAAGTGAGATCGGCCTATTAGAACTTAGTAGCAAAATAGCGGCCATGGCAGCCAAATTGTATTTCTGATTGACCCGAAAAATAACAACACTTTGTCAGGACCATGATTCGATCATTCCTACAAAGTTTCAGTTCAATCGGCCAAGTAGATCTTTACTTTAAGTTTGAAATAGTTTACCAAAATGGCAGCTGTGGTGGCCATATTGGATTTCTGATCGACCTGAAAAATAACAACACTTTGTCAGGACCATGAGTCAATCATTCCTACAAAGTTTCAGTTCAATCGGCCTAGCAGAACTTGACTTTAAGTTTGAAATATGTTTTCAAAATGGTGGCCGTGGCGGCCATATTGGATTTATGATTGACCTGAAAAATAACAACACTTTGTCAGGACCATGAGTCGATCATTCCTACAAACTTTAAGTTCAATCGGTCCAGCAGAACTTGACTTTAAGTTTGAAATAGGTTTTCAAAATGGCGGCCGTGGTGGCCATATTGGATTTCTGATCGACCCAAAAAATAACAACACTTTGTCAGGACCATGAGGCGATCATTCCTACCAACTTTCAGTTCAATCGGTCCAGCAGAACTTGACTTTAAGTTTGAAATAGGTTTTCAAAATGGTGGCCGTGGCGGCCATATTGGATTTCTGATCGACCCGAAAAATAACAACACTTTGTCAGGACCATGAGGCGATCATTCCTACCAACTTTCAGTTCAATCGGTCCAGCAGAACTTGACTTTAAGTTTGAAATAGGTTTTCAAAATGGCGGCCGTGGCGGCCATATTGGATTTCTGATCGACCCGAAAAATAACAACACTTTGTCAGGACCATGAGGCGATCATTCCTACCAACTTTCAGTTCAATCGGTCCAGCAGAACTTGACTTTAAGTTTGAAATAGGTTTTCAAAATGGCGGCCGTGGCGGCCATATTGGATTTCTGATCGACCCGAAAAATAACAACACTTTGTCAGGACCATGAGGCGATCATTCCTACCAACTTTCAGTTCAATCGGTCCAGCAGAACTTGACTTTAAGTTTGAAATAGGTTTTCAAAATGGCGGCCGTGGCGGCCATATTGGATTTCTGATCGACCCGAAAAATAACAACACTTTGTCAGGACCATGAGGCGATCATTCCTACCAACTTTCAGTTCAATCGGCCCAGCAGAACTTGACTTTAAGTTTGAAATGTAAAATGTTAACGGACGACGGACGACGACGGACGAAAACGGATAGCAATAGGTCACTTGAGCTAAAGCTCAGGTGACCTAAAAATTGACTTAAAAAGTTTGCATGTAGGTACAAAGTTTCACTTAGGTAGGGCTACCTAAAAAAAATAATCAAACATCTGTTTGGCCTAAATGTAATCAATCAATGCTTTAAGAGGAAAGTTTAGGGTTTCTAGTGTGAAGTTTCACCAGATGAACAGTGTACTTGACGGATAGAAAATATTACAAGAGATGGGTGGGTAAATTTTCCTTGTGGCCGAGACATTGGCAGGCTATCACTTTGGGGGAAAGCTTTATAGCCCTTCGATTCCCAATCTTCTGCCTAGATACAGGGGTTGTGACCCATCTATATCCTACATATAACACCTGTATCATGCATGTTAAGAAGGTTTCTACTATTTAAAGGGAGTAGAGAGTGGCCAGGCATGTTATGATCTTGTCAGGTGTGCAAGGCAAAAAGGTAAGATTACCATCACTAGGATGACAGGTAGCAAAGACACATGGCATTAACACAAGAATTGCCCCTTGAACTTCTTGACTGAAACACCAGAACACCCGATAACTAAAACATGTATCCCCAAAATCAGCGTTCGTGAGATATTATTTTTTTTATGAAAGGTACATAGGACTCTGAAAGGCACAGATGGGTTCTGTCAGGAAGTGTGCAAAGTCTACCATATCAAGTTTTACCATCAACAATAAATGTTTCTTACATATTTCCATCTCTAGTGTTTTATTTACAATATATATATATATATTTACATATCTACAAATATCGCTATCATAATTCATTACACAATACTGTTTTATAATAGTAGAATAACCATACAAGTGCTATGTTACAGTCACTCTATCAATCTGCTTTCCTGAAGACCTACCACACCTTTAGCACTAATACATTTAACCCACATGTTAAAGCTTTCTAATTGATTCATCAGATTGATCCAGTAATCAAATTCACAAGTAGATTCTCGGTTATTTCATCCTTTCGTATGAAGACAATACAAGGACAATGCTGATTGTCATTATACTCAGCATTCGTTAATTACACTGTGCTATTATCTTACCAATGGTATTTCTCTGTGAAGAAATATGCCACATAATAAATTAACATAGTGATTCTGGAGTCGGGGCACCTGAATAGTGACTGTAACATCAGAACCTACATGACAATTAGAATATTTGAAATAGGAAGCTTTCAAATATCTGTATTTCTATAATCAACCATTTTCACATTGCACCACAAGTATATGCCATCTGTTTCAGTCATCTCATGTTGTCATGGTTACGTTCAATAGTCTGCCAACTGATGCTTCACGAGAGGTTTCTATAAGTCTTTTATTTCTTCAAGCTGAAACGCATTAAATAAACCTACTTAAGAATAAGTGCATGTCACAATGTCTAGTTATGGTCAAATTGGCTTATACAGTACCTACTACTAGTACATGTATGAAGGCCAAAAAAAATGATTACTTGGTTCTCAGGACCACGCGCATTTCATTTTCGGGCACCGCATTGCCGATTTTATCGTGAAAGTAATAAAAAAAAATTGTGATGCGGCACCAGCCACCGTCTTTAAAAAAATGGGGAAAATTGGTCCACATGTTGTTTTTACTCGTTAGTCACCCAAGTCCCGAAAACGTTTGAATAAAGGTAAGGATTAATATACAGGCAAGCATTAAAATAATTATGACTTATTAGTCTTGTGTACAAATGGCGCTCATTTCGGTACAAATAAGGAATGGGGGGTTCGTGATTCTCGTCTGGAACATCGTGGGGGGATTTTCGGAGGCTTGCTCTATGACTGGTCTCTACACAACTATAAAAAGACAAGGTAATGCCCACAATGAACGTTTTACAAACTACACAATAAATAAAAAAATCGCCCTCGTCTCATTTTTGCCATGTTAAATGGGGAAAAAAAGTACCGCCCTGCCGCATATCTTTTGAAAAAAATTGGCCTGAGAACCAAGTAATTAATTTAATTTGGCCTTAATCCTACACTATTTGTTGCAAAAAAGGAAGAGAACTAGTTGAAAAACCTTATTTTGCATGTGTAGCACTGAAATATTTGTGAAATACGCATTGGGAAAAGGGGTTAAAAAAGTCTGTGTGGTACATCAACCTTTACATATCGTTAAGTTTCCAAAACACCATTACCTACCTTTGTAAGTATGCATTGACGTCGCTGAAGCCATGTGTCCTGGCCATGTGTATGAGGATGCCAGTACATCCCTTTCCGTTTTTCTTCCTACAGAAACTACAGTTACAGATCTTACGGCAGGGGGGACAACTCCAGCTCTAAACATCAAAAAAATATACAAATAAAATAAATATCCTATGGCTGGGTGGATAACTCCTGCTCTGAACACTTAATTACTGTCAATAAAAACACAAAAGAATATGTCCATGTATCAGTAATCAAATTTAACTATTATATATAAATTTCATGTTTCCAAAATGACATATTTTTATCTATTGTTTGGAACCCAGCCTAATTCTTTTGCACAAAATACTTAGGTGTATTTTTTCAACCTTTCCTTGAAAACATTTCGCTACTTGAAAATCACTAAGTTGAGAATATTCACCGACACAGTACATCGGTGCACATCGCCATGTGATCAATTGTCTTAAACATTTACAACACGTCACGATATGATTAGGACACTACAATAAGACAATACTATACCTCATTCTTCAGGGCCTCTTTGGCATTCTCTCCATACCTATTCCTCAGACAGGGACCACAGAACTAAAAGTACAAATGTATAAACCATTTTTTTTTATTTTTTTTACAAATTCAACAAATAAGAAATCAAACTGCAGATATACCAACATCCTCAATGCTACATGGATAACACTCACTTTTGCTCTCTGCACCCCTGGAATATGTCGGAGCAAAATTGAAGGCACAAGGCTAGCTATTTGATTGGTCTCAGGTAAGAAAACCTGACTAATTGCCAGGCTGATATTTGTCCTTTGATGGACACCAGACTTCAAGCAAGTTAATTGTACTGTTATAAGATCTAGAGATTGGTCTGATGTACATCAAAGGTTCAAACTGGTCTGCTTGTCTCATTCACAAGGTGATGCACACCGAGCCTTCGATTTTGTCACGACAAATTCCAGGCGTGTAGAGAGCGCAAGCCCTAGAATATACGTATCAAGAATGATGTATCAATTATTTTTGGAGTATTGTATACCGACAGTTATAGTAGCCATGTTCCATGCTGTCCCTAGACAATACAGTCTCTAGTAGCCTACTGGTTATTGAGCGACATTATTGTTAAGCCTGGGGTATGTACAGGGTATGGTAACGGTTAGCATTGTTTTGGCAGTCAGTAGCCTTGTACCATTCGACACGATTATTTGTGGAGTACCTACCTGTCCCCTCACCCCGATACAGTGCCCTGATCGACAGATAGTCTTCATGTCATTGGTCTTTTGTCTACACTGGTGACAGGATGTCCCCTGTAAGACAAGAGACACTCATTGTAATGACAATTGATAATCCAAAAGTATCTCATAGGAAATATGCATCTGATTTTTAAAGATTTAAAACATACAAATCGACACACAATTTCCAGTAGTGAAGAAGAGATTTTGATGAACAGTAATTGTAATATCCACATTCACAAAACTTACTGAAGAAACAAATGAACTAGAAAACATACTTATCTCAAATTTATCTACCTCCTGTTCCATTAAACAATCTAACTGCAAATGTCTGTAACAGGCACTTACATAAAAGCTGTCATATTTCTTTTCACTGACTAACTCGGCCACCATTTCTATGTCATCCTCTGTGATGTCTTCGGCTGGACGGGAGTCGTGGACAATTCTGTGGGCTCGCTTTGGTAAAGTCGGCTCCTCTTCCTGTTTGTTATAAGATCAAAACAGAAATAATGAAACAAAATGTCAATTATTGCATTGAACTGTTAACTTAGGATTAAACCAGTAAGTACCAGCAGATCCTGTGTCTTTTTCGGCAGAAACACAGACATTCCTTGTAAGTAGATTCAGTGTCTGGATTAATAATACTTGTCAAGATAACGATCTTCAGATTTAATATATCTAAGATAAACTGAATTAATAATTAAATGTGGTGTACATTGAATAATAATTTGAGAAATTGACAAGTCATAGCATTCTGCAAATTCATTGTGTATATAACTGGTCCGAATAAGAACGGAGTTTTTAAATGACACTTGTACCATACTCCCATTGTCAAGTCTGCAGCTTCCGTTTTTGTCTAAAACTTTAAACCTTTGAATGGTATTTTTGTACCTGTACACATGTACTAAGAATTGCATTGTGTTTTATACAAAACAAAACAAAGCTTATTTGGGACACTATCCTAGTGGAAGAATTTCACACTATAAATGTGTGATCCATACTTTCAAATGTTCATCCCCCCCCCCCAACATAAAATCTACTAGCAGTGGTTGTAAGGCAAGTTGAATAGCACACTCTTGCTTTCTATGTGTTGCATATAATACTCATAAGTTAGTTTAAGGAATCATACATCATTGTCACTATTCATAGAATCTGTTTCATCAGCCTCATCTGGTCTTCCAGTTGATTTCTGGAAAAATCCAAACCGCACAAACAGTTTCTGTAACAAAAGAAAACATATATTTGATATGATACTTAGAATATGAGGACAAAACACAAGAAATATTTGGCATGTCCTGATTTGTTTTATAGCAGTATTTTCCCAGTTCCTGTAGATGTAGGCTGCGGTGTAGAATTTTGGCCAAAAAAACTGTGTGATACTATCAGTTTAATCTGTTAGATTATAAGATAATGATATTCTGAGTTTCTATCAAATCTCCCTAGTGAAAAAAGGATATCGTACTATTTCCAATCATTTTGCAGAGGATTATACCAGATCTAGAAGCTTCTTCCACCGTATCTGTTTATCATATGCATGCAAGATATTCCATTTAAGTATTTCTGAGAATGTTTTTTGCTTCACTCTAGATCTATATCCCCCAATTTGTTTGCCCCCCTTCTCCCTGAATTTTTGTTTCCATTAAATAATTACATTTGGTGAAGATGAGGGTGAAGTGGCGGACGATGAAGACGAGATGGAAGATGAAACAGATCCACGTCTTTGTCTCCTGTGTGCAATACTGTACTCGTCCAGCGGCGTGTATCGGGCATTGCGAGAAGGGTTGCGCCGGGTTGGGAGCATCTCCATTGATTTTACGGCCCTTGTTTTCTACAAACAAAAAAAATTTACTGTGATGTCGTAAGGAAGCACGGTAGTCTAGTGGTAGGACGCCGTGCTCATGACCGACAGGTTGCGAGTTCGACTTGCGTCACGGCACTGTGTGATATCTTTGAGCAAGATACTTGACTCTGCTTGTTCCAGTCTACTCAGCTGTAAATGAGTACGTGGTCAGGCAGTGCTAGAATTGTAGAATGCTAGCTGTGAGTGCCGAAATGACAGCAGCGGCTGTATATGCTCCCCAGGGAGTTGAGAAAGATATTGGCTGTTGCAAAGGCCCTATAATTATAACTACTGATAATAATTTGTGAACCGCTTTGAGACGACCTACGAACTAGGTTGTGATAAAGCAGTATATCAGAACCTCAAATTATTATTATTAATTACACATCTTACTTATGAAATATCATTACTTTTGTGGGGACCTCTAAATCCACCGAATTACATATTAAAACCTTTTTTCAACATTTGAGTTTTCTAGTGCATTTTCGTTTAAATGTATTTCTTGACTCATGACTGTTCAGTTACAGCATGAAACCAACATAAGATATATATACTGGTATATAAGTGATTAATTTAGCCACTTTTACAGCAAAATAAAGACTGCTTCCCCTTGCCAAAAGGTGCATTATTTTCCCAAAATTATCTAAAAGTTAAGAAATATTTTCCCCGATTTAAATAAAATTAATGCTTTAATTTCCAAATTCATTAGGGAACAGGTTGTAGTTGACTTTAGGTTTAAAAAAAACCCACTGTATTTTATGTTTATTTGTCATCTTTTCCACAATATCGGCAAGAACAAGTAAAAGAGGAAACAAAGACATTTTTTTTTTTTTGCAAAATAACACAAGTCATAAATAGCACATGCTTACCCTCGCTGGCCTCTCCACAGGCTGTGACGTGGTCCCCTTCAGATCATGCAGCAGTTTGTCAAGCTGTAATTATAATATCAAACAAACGGGGTTTCACATCTTATATTGACTTTAATAGAGAGTTCTTGGGACCTCTTGATTGAATTTTGGGAGTCTTGGACAAATATTTAGGGTCCACATAAATGATAATTTCCATTATTTATTACTTTGAGTATATATACTTCAATATTAAAATTTGGAAACTGGATTTTTTTAAGTTGTCACCTAAGGGGGTCATGAATGGGACACAGATGTTCAGATTTTAGGTGTCCTGTAAATATAATGGAAAATTGGGATATTTGAAGCAGGATTTGAACATTTGCTAATTATGAATAAAAGACACTTGAGTAGTCCTCCAAACTATCTCTGTTGCAGTCATATACAACAGAATGATGTAGTTATGTTTACATGTAGCAGCCCCCTCCCCTAACATGCGAGATGGCAGAACCTGCAGTGAAATATCACAACTGGCTAAACCGATATCTTCAGTTATAGCTGAAGTGGTACATACAGCTAATCAGCACTAGCTCTAAGCAGCCATCTCTAGCCAAGAAACTTCAACCCCAAAAAGTTCTGTCTATGTAAATCATCATCATTTCCTATTATTATCATGTTCATATATGGTCACAAGACAAATTCAGCCACAAAGAACTTGTATTATAACTGTAGATGTGTCAGTCAATCAGAGTTTTAAAACCAATCTTGGTGTTTTCGGCCAATCAGATGACCAACATAAATGTCAGAAAAAAAGACAAGTGAAAAATGGATTGCTCATCTACATATATCCAATGTATTTAATCAAGGGTTGGCATGCCGAGAGCCATCAAGCATTAATTATCAAGACTTATTTCCCTTTGTCATGATGTGGGATTTAGAATGTGGTAGTGGTATTACCATTGCGATAACGTATCTTTCTGACGACAAGACATATTGCGTCGTCAGAGCTATGATGCGGTCCCATACCTGTTAATGTAGCAAAATAAAAAGTGTTCAATCTATAAGATCACACTATGATTAATAAGCAGAAGGATTGGGAGGTCTGAAATTGCACTCCAAAATTAATGTTTGTATACAAGCAACATCTGTTGTCATTGATCATGAATGAAAATTATTTCAAACTTGCATGTACAAATTCTCCACAATTAATACCATGACTTTGTTGTCTTCCAAGTTCTTGTTCCGTAGCTCTTCATAATGACTTGCCATTTTTGTCCAACTATAAAATATGAGTTAAATGAGTTTTAAAGATCCAATAGTCAATAGATATATATTTCAGAATTTAATTTAACAACACAAATCTCTATTACAGCTACTCAAATAGTGTTAGAAAATGTGAGATTCTATATAAGCGTACATGTTTTGACAGTCATCATTAATTATATTATATTATTATAGGTGTCTAGAGTATATAGGTTGAATGAAGTTAAAGCTCAGTAATTAACAAAATATGTCGTTGTTATATGAGTTAATGTACAATACAGCAAACTCGCATATCTTTTAAATAAAAAATACATATATATATGAAATGGGGCAAGGCTCATTTTATATCGCATCTCTCCTAGACTAAATTAGTATTTCGAAACATATGGACAAAAGGCAACATAATTAATATAAATCAATGAATAGTTTTCAAAAAGTCTCTTTCTAATCTGGATTTATGCCCGCTGTAGCTCCTTTTTTTATTAGGTCATCAAAAGTGACGCGTAGGCATGCATCCTCAACTCATGCTACTCATCAAGTTAGAAATAGTTTTTTTATATTAAATTGCAAGCCAATTTAAAAAATGAAAGATTAACATATGTATCAATTAAGTGTTGTTCTATCTGATGGTATGCTAATAACCGATCGATTCATATAAAAATATCAACATACATAGCGATAATTGCAGACAAGTATCAGTGCAATGACAAAATATTCGCATCCATTGATAAAATTTTCCCGGGAAATTCTGGGTCAGTCAATTTTTCCTGAAACTAAATAAAGTGGCAATTTAGGCGGCCAAAACTTCGATACACGCAAATTGTAACTTTTACCTACCTTTCTTCTGACAATCGGACACGAACTGTGTCTTTTCTGAATGTATAAACTTTGTCAATGAGTTTCGCCTGCCAGTACACTTTACATGAATGCGTGTTGGAAGCTTGCCCACGTGATCAAAATTTGCCGGGACATCCCACAATTCCGCGATGTAAACAAAAATCACGTGACATAAGAGAGCTTTTTACGTGTGGCTGTCTTTAGTTCACAATCAAGCACTTTGGTGATTTAGACTTGCTGGTATATTTTCGGCATCCCTCGGATGTTTTCATTCCTGATTTCTACGACAACATGCAGTATCGCGAGTGATAGTCGTGCTTGCATAACAGTCAGCTTAGTGGTCACGCTGGCGTTTGTTCTTTTCCAAAAGCTTTTGCTGCGTTTATCGTCTGTTTCTAGTAGACATTCCTCATCGACAGCTACAAGCATGGCGGACGTAGCTGGTATATAACACACACATAGATACTTGTTACAAGATTACCCTTCATTTGAACACAGGGGTTCGTTACAAATGCCAGAAATACATGCTTTACTTATGTAACCTCACCGATGTTGGTAACTTCAGCGTATCCACAAGGATAAAGATACAGATGATATGTGACACAGCACACACTAATTATGTCATAATTAAATATAACTAGCATGTGTATTTCAGACATTAGTAACGACCCACTGTGGTTTGGGTGACAGTTCACAGCAACAGGTAGTTTTACTAAAAAAAAATAAAACTAAAGTTAAACATGTCAAGTTCTTGAAAACATAAGCGGGGGGAAAAAGTGTCCTTATTTTATATCTTCGCTAATGGAAAAAAACAATGTACAAATTTCTACAAAAGAAGATTTCTTCTGAGGTCTAACTTGTCACCATGACAGTCCCATAACACGTACTGACATTGTTTTCCATTGACTAAAATGCTTAGTCCTTGGGGCATCCAAAGCCATTGATTCCGATTCTTTTCATTGACAGGTGTAAAATGTTCCCAAGCCTATATTTTAGTTAGTGTAGAAATTCTGTACATTTAACAATGGCTGAACAATTTTTCATTTTTTACTAAAAATAAATGTAAAAGATGTGCATTGAATAGGTTGCGTTACAAGCGTCAGTTGTAGGGAATTTCCCTTTAGTTCAGCTGTGGAGCATCAGGCTGGAGAGCCAAGGGTTACGGGTAAGAGCCCCATCTTTATCACTGTTCCCTGTCCTTCTACAAACTGGTGCCATATTTGACCCTCCCCGTTCAAAGTAGGAGATCCCCTGGTAGGTAGTCAAAGAACCTGGTTTGGTGTTTGAAAATAAGGGAGGGGGGGAGTTTAAAAGATGTGTATTGATTAGGTTGCCTTACAAGTGAATTTCCCTATAGCTCAGCGGTAGAGCATTAGGCTAGAGAGCCAAGGGTTGTGGGTTCAAGCCCCAGCAACGGCACTATCTTAATGACTAGTCCTTGTCCTACTACAAAGACCTACTATAGGCAAATACACTGAGGATTGTTGGAATTAGTCAAAATTTGCTATCAAATGTACCTTATTATATTATTACTGAGTGACATGTCGAATGAATGACACCTTTCCTGTTTTGTTGTCCTAATGTTTCAAAGAACTTCAGTACAGTAATATTATTTCACTTTATTCCCTGATCTTAGCAATTATCTCTTTTTTTCTGTAAATATCAACAGTTACAATTAATGAGAGCCTATAATTTGTTATTACACAGAAATATGTATTTGATTCGGAACCATTAAAGACAACTATTTAGTCATAGGCTTTATCTACTGGAAAAAAACCCATGTTTTTATATGCATATTTTACTATTTTTGTTTTTGTTAAAATGTCCAACCATTTCAAAATCATTGAGCATTTATTATATGACTGTTATTATATAGAATTTCAAATACAAGTAAAACTTAGCAATTTTTCTATAAGTGTGGCAGCATGATAACTAATTATTTTTTTGGCAGATAATACCAATCAAGCACTTGAGATACAAATATAATACCAATCAAGCACTTGAGATACAAATATAAAGGACATTTATTATTGATCCAAAGACACATTACCCTTCTGGGCCAATTTTTTGGGAAAATAAAACACTAATTGTTAGTCTGACCTGTTTGAAAGTGATTTATCCTGTGTATGTAGGAGAGAGATATTACTAAAGATTATAGATAACTGAAGATTGTTAATCCAGCAGGAAATAGGCATCCCATTGTCACTTTGGATGGTAATTGGCCCATTGAAGAGATTACTGTACCTGTGTTTAAGGGCAGATAAGACTTAACACCTGTGTTGCCCTGTGGGGATCAAACTTCGTGTGTGAATCACCCCAATCACCTGTTATGTCACTGTGACACTGTCATTGATATATTTGCTTTAGAAATACAAGAAAATACACAATGTGTGGTAATCTGTTGTTTAAACTGAGGCTATAAATACCATAGGTGTTTTATTTTAATTGTACAGGTGTCAAATGAAATTTCATTCTTTGATCATTAAATACCTATTTTGTTGAATCATTTATGTATGCATAAAATACTCATTGGCTACCCACTACACTTATTCCAAACATCTTCCCTATAACTTGCACCACAACAGAAAGTACATTAATATATGTCAGTAGTAAAGTATACAGAGTACGTCAGTCCAGATAATACACAGGCTGTCGGGCTATCGCACCTTTGCTGGGTTTGGGCCCAAGAGACTATGATTAATTTAATTAACAAACACTTGTCATGGACCAGCATACCTATGGTCTACACAGTCTATAACATGCTGAAAACACAGTGGCACGGCATATTTTCCAACCTTTTGAAAGTTTGTATGTGTATCTTTTCCTTATGGACCAAAAAACCCTTCAAAAGTTCATACTTTGAGAATTGTTCTTTCAGATGAAATCACTAGCTCTAAGAATGTAGGAATAGTTTAGCAAATTCACCTGTTGAAAATATTAAATATAAGGGTAAAAAATTGTGAGTCATTAACTAAATAGGGAGAACTGGCAAGTATGGTACATGGTTTACCTTATTATTAGGTTACCCCTTTATAACGGGGGNAAACCCCCCCCCCCCCCCCCGAAACAAAGGACCAAACACAAACTGATCTAAATAGAAGTCATTATTGAAGGTGCCCACGGTCACTAGTATGTCAAAAGTCTTTACAAGTCATTACACTGACACCTGTTAACAGAAGTACAGTGTAATCTATTTCATTTGATAAATATGATAAAAATATTGATATACTCTGAACTGCTACCTATTATTATATCTAAATTTACTGATTTTCCACATAACCATAGGGAAATGTACAATGAATCTGTACATGTACCACATCATATGATTGGCTGTTGACCTTTATTTGTTTCAGGTATGCGGAGTCCTTACCGCAGTACATCAGACACATTTGACCTTGATGACCTTGCTTCCAGAGATCCTTTCAAACAGTTTGATAACTGGTTTAACCTAGCACGCTCTCACCCACAGATAGAGGAAGCCAATGCTATGGCGCTAGCTACAGCCACTAAGTAGGTATCAGTCAGGCTAGGTCAGTAATAGAATCAAGGAATCAAACAGTTTGACAACTGGTTTAACCTAGCATGCTCTCACCCACAGATAGAGGAAGGTAATGCTATGTCTCTAGCTACAGCCACTAAGTAGGTATCAGTCAGGTTAGGTCAATAATAGAGTCCAGGAATCAAACAGTTTGAGAGCTGGTTTAACCTAGCACGCTCTCACCCACAGATAGAGGAAGCCAATGCTATGTCTCTAGCTACAGCCACTAAGTAGGTATCAGTCAGGCTAGGTCAGTAATGGAACCAAGGAATCAAACAGTTTGAGAACTGGTTTAACCTAGCACTCTCACACCCACAGATAGAGGAAGCCAATGCTATGTCTCTAGCTACAGCCACTAAGTAGGTATCAGTCAGGTTAGGTCAGTAATAGAGTCAAGGAATCAAACAGTTTGAGAACTGGTTTAACCTAGCACGCTCTCACCCACAGATAGAGGAAGCCAATGCTATGTCTCTAGCTACAGCCACTAAGTAGGTATCAGTCAGGTTAGGTCAGTAATAGAGTCAAGGAATCAAACAGTTTGAGAACTGGTTTAACCTAGCACGCTCTCACCCACAGATAGAGGAAGCCAATGCTATGTCTCTAGCTACAGCCACTAAGTAGGTATCAGTCAGGTTAGGTCAGTAATAGAGTCAAGGAATCAAACAGTTTGAGAACTGGTTTAACCTAGCACGCTCTCACCCACAGATAGAGGAAGCCAATGCTATGTCTCTAGCTACAGCCACTAAGTAGGTATCAGTCAGGTTAGGTCAGTAATAGAGTCAAGGAATCAAACAGTTTGAGAACTGGTTTAACCTAGCACGCTCTCACCCACAGATAGAGGAAGCCAATGCTATGTCTCTAGCTACAGCCACTAAGTAGGTATCAGTCAGGTTAGGTCAGTAATAGAGTCAAGGAATCAAACAGTTTGAGAACTGGTTTAACCTAGCACGCTCTCACCCACAGATAGAGGAAGCCAATGCTATGTCTCTAGCTACAGCCACTAAGTAGGTATCAGTCAGGTTAGGTCAGTAATAGAGTCAAGGAATCAAACAGTTTGAGAACTGGTTTAACCTAGCACGCTCTCACCCACAGATAGAGGAAGCCAATGCTATGTCTCTAGCTACAGCCACTAAGTAGGTATCAGTCAGGTTAGGTCAGTAATAGAGTCAAGGAATCAAACAGTTTGAGAACTGGTTTAACCTAGCACGCTCTCACCCACAGATAGAGGAAGCCAATGCTATGTCTCTAGCTACAGCCACTAAGTAGGTATCAGTCAGGTTAGGTCAGTAATAGAGTCAAGGAATCAAACAGTTTGAGAACTGGTTTAACCTAGCACGCTCTCACCCACAGATAGAGGAAGCCAATGCTATGTCTCTAGCTACAGCCACTAAGTAGGTATCAGTCAGGTTAGGTCAGTAATAGAGTCAAGGAATCAAACAGTTTGAGAACTGGTTTAACCTAGCACGCTCTCACCCACAGATAGAGGAAGCCAATGCTATGTCTCTAGCTACAGCCACTAAGTAGGTATCAGTCAGGTTAGGTCAGTAATAGAGTCAAGGAATCAAACAGTTTGAGAACTGGTTTAACCTAGCACGCTCTCACCCACAGATAGAGGAAGCCAATGCTATGTCTCTAGCTACAGCCACTAAGTAGGTATCAGTCAGGTTAGGTCAGTAATAGAGTCAAGGAATCAAACAGTTTGAGAACTGGTTTAACCTAGCACGCTCTCACCCACAGATAGAGGAAGCCAATGCTATGTCTCTAGCTACAGCCACTAAGTAGGTATCAGTCAGGTTAGGTCAGTAATAGAGTCAAGGAATCAAACAGTTTGAGAACTGGTTTAACCTAGCACGCTCTCACCCACAGATAGAGGAAGCCAATGCTATGTCTCTAGCTACAGCCACTAAGTAGGTATCAGTCAGGTTAGGTCAGTAATAGAGTCAAGGAATCAAACAGTTTGAGAACTGGTTTAACCTAGCACGCTCTCACCCACAGATAGAGGAAGCCAATGCTATGTCTCTAGCTACAGCCACTAAGTAGGTATCAGTCAGGTTAGGTCAGTAATAGAGTCAAGGAATCAAACAGTTTGAGAACTGGTTTAACCTAGCACGCTCTCACCCACAGATAGAGGAAGCCAATGCTATGTCTCTAGCTACAGCCACTAAGTAGGTATCAGTCAGGTTAGGTCAGTAATAGAGTCAAGGAATCAAACAGTTTGAGAACTGGTTTAACCTAGCACGCTCTCACCCACAGATAGAGGAAGCCAATGCTATGTCTCTAGCTACAGCCACTAAGTAGGTATCAGTCAGGTTAGGTCAGTAATAGAGTCAAGGAATCAAACAGTTTGAGAACTGGTTTAACCTAGCACGCTCTCACCCACAGATAGAGGAAGCCAATGCTATGTCTCTAGCTACAGCCACTAAGTAGGTATCAGTCAGGTTAGGTCAGTAATAGAGTCAAGGAATCAAACAGTTTGAGAACTGGTTTAACCTAGCACGCTCTCACCCACAGATAGAGGAAGCCAATGCTATGTCTCTAGCTACAGCCACTAAGTAGGTATCAGTCAGGTTAGGTCAGTAATAGAGTCAAGGAATCAAACAGTTTGAGAACTGGTTTAACCTAGCACGCTCTCACCCACAGATAGAGGAAGCCAATGCTATGTCTCTAGCTACAGCCACTAAGTAGGTATCAGTCAGGTTAGGTCAGTAATAGAGTCAAGGAATCAAACAGTTTGAGAACTGGTTTAACCTAGCACGCTCTCACCCACAGATAGAGGAAGCCAATGCTATGTCTCTAGCTACAGCCACTAAGTAGGTATCAGTCAGGTTAGGTCAGTAATAGAGTCAAGGAATCAAACAGTTTGAGAACTGGTTTAACCTAGCACGCTCTCACCCACAGATAGAGGAAGCCAATGCTATGTCTCTAGCTACAGCCACTAAGTAGGTATCAGTCAGGTTAGGTCAGTAATAGAGTCAAGGAATCAAACAGTTTGAGAACTGGTTTAACCTAGCACGCTCTCACCCACAGATAGAGGAAGCCAATGCTATGTCTCTAGCTACAGCCACTAAGTAGGTATCAGTCAGGTTAGGTCAGTAATAGAGTCAAGGAATCAAACAGTTTGAGAACTGGTTTAACCTAGCACGCTCTCACCCACAGATAGAGGAAGCCAATGCTATGTCTCTAGCTACAGCCACTAAGTAGGTATCAGTCAGGTTAGGTCAGTAATAGAGTCAAGGAATCAAACAGTTTGAGAACTGGTTTAACCTAGCACGCTCTCACCCACAGATAGAGGAAGCCAATGCTATGTCTCTAGCTACAGCCACTAAGTAGGTATCAGTCAGGTTAGGTCAGTAATAGAGTCAAGGAATCAAACAGTTTGAGAACTGGTTTAACCTAGCACGCTCTCACCCACAGATAGAGGAAGCCAATGCTATGTCTCTAGCTACAGCCACTAAGTAGGTATCAGTCAGGTTAGGTCAGTAATAGAGTCAAGGAATCAAACAGTTTGAGAACTGGTTTAACCTAGCACGCTCTCACCCACAGATAGAGGAAGCCAATGCTATGTCTCTAGCTACAGCCACTAAGTAGGTATCAGTCAGGTTAGGTCAGTAATAGAGTCAAGGAATCAAACAGTTTGAGAACTGGTTTAACCTAGCACGCTCTCACCCACAGATAGAGGAAGCCAATGCTATGTCTCTAGCTACAGCCACTAAGTAGGTATCAGTCAGGTTAGGTCAGTAATAGAGTCAAGGAATCAAACAGTTTGAGAACTGGTTTAACCTAGCACGCTCTCACCCACAGATAGAGGAAGCCAATGCTATGTCTCTAGCTACAGCCACTAAGTAGGTATCAGTCAGGTTAGGTCAGTAATAGAGTCAAGGAATCAAACAGTTTGAGAACTGGTTTAACCTAGCACGCTCTCACCCACAGATAGAGGAAGCCAATGCTATGTCTCTAGCTACAGCCACTAAGTAGGTATCAGTCAGGTTAGGTCAGTAATAGAGTCAAGGAATCAAACAGTTTGAGAACTGGTTTAACCTAGCACGCTCTCACCCACAGATAGAGGAAGCCAATGCTATGTCTCTAGCTACAGCCACTAAGTAGGTATCAGTCAGGTTAGGTCAGTAATAGAGTCAAGGAATCAAACAGTTTGAGAACTGGTTTAACCTAGCACGCTCTCACCCACAGATAGAGGAAGCCAATGCTATGTCTCTAGCTACAGCCACTAAGTAGGTATCAGTCAGGTTAGGTCAGTAATAGAGTCAAGGAATCAAACAGTTTGAGAACTGGTTTAACCTAGCACGCTCTCACCCACAGATAGAGGAAGCCAATGCTATGTCTCTAGCTACAGCCACTAAGTAGGTATCAGTCAGGTTAGGTCAGTAATAGAGTCAAGGAATCAAACAGTTTGAGAACTGGTTTAACCTAGCACGCTCTCACCCACAGATAGAGGAAGCCAATGCTATGTCTCTAGCTACAGCCACTAAGTAGGTATCAGTCAGGTTAGGTCAGTAATAGAGTCAAGGAATCAAACAGTTTGAGAACTGGTTTAACCTAGCACGCTCTCACCCACAGATAGAGGAAGCCAATGCTATGTCTCTAGCTACAGCCACTAAGTAGGTATCAGTCAGGTTAGGTCAGTAATAGAGTCAAGGAATCAAACAGTTTGAGAACTGGTTTAACCTAGCACGCTCTCACCCACAGATAGAGGAAGCCAATGCTATGTCTCTAGCTACAGCCACTAAGTAGGTATCAGTCAGGTTAGGTCAGTAATAGAGTCAAGGAATCAAACAGTTTGAGAACTGGTTTAACCTAGCACGCTCTCACCCACAGATAGAGGAAGCCAATGCTATGTCTCTAGCTACAGCCACTAAGTAGGTATCAGTCAGGTTAGGTCAGTAATAGAGTCAAGGAATCAAACAGTTTGAGAACTGGTTTAACCTAGCACGCTCTCACCCACAGATAGAGGAAGCCAATGCTATGTCTCTAGCTACAGCCACTAAGTAGGTATCAGTCAGGTTAGGTCAGTAATAGAGTCAAGGAATCAAACAGTTTGAGAACTGGTTTAACCTAGCACGCTCTCACCCACAGATAGAGGAAGCCAATGCTATGTCTCTAGCTACAGCCACTAAGTAGGTATCAGTCAGGTTAGGTCAGTAATAGAGTCAAGGAATCAAACAGTTTGAGAACTGGTTTAACCTAGCACGCTCTCACCCACAGATAGAGGAAGCCAATGCTATGTCTCTAGCTACAGCCACTAAGTAGGTATCAGTCAGGCTAGGTCAGTAATAGAGTCAAGGAATCAAACAGTTTGACAACTGGTTTAACCTAGCACGCTCTCACCCACAGATAGAGGAAGCCAATGCTATAGCTCTAGCTACAGCTACTAAGTAGGTATCAGTCAGGCTAGGTCAGTAATAGAACCAAGTAATCAAACCCTCTGAAAACAGTAAAGCATTATTAAATCACGAGTGAAGTGATGGCATATGTACTGGTCCAACAAGTGACTCATCTCTGTTACGCTGGTGCACATCAAAAAAAAAAGTTGAACACATGCAAACATTAAAGAAAAAAAACACATTGGTAAATCAGAAGTGAAGCAACAGTGTGATCTAGCTAGCGCTGGTCCGAAATAGGCTTAAGATTTGGGTTAAATGCTAGTGCACCGCCAAATAAGAATGATTTAAACCTGTGTGAAAAGACCAAGAGACACAGTTATGGTATACATGCATGTATATATATACAATATATGTTACATGTAGAACAATGATAAAATTGTCGAAAAATTGTATTTACCAAAATAATTCTCTTTCTTTTATTGGTTGACACAATAGCTACTACAGTGCATGTATCTTATGTGTTTGTTGTCCATTGTACTTGTAGAAGTGGTATCCCCTCTGTCCGTATGGTGCTGATGAAGGGCTACGATCCCTCAGGATTCCAGTTCTTCACCAACCATAGCAGTCGTAAAGCATCAGAAATGGTAGGCTGGGCCAAAACCAATTATTGAGGGTTGATGGTATATTGACTACTGACCTTACCATGCAAGAATTATATGTTATCCTCAATCCTTCATGTTCAGCGGTGCTCTCTAAAGTTGAAATCAACATGTTCAAAATTGACAGTTAAAATACTAACAGTCAGGAAAACAACTGTGACTTGTTAACAGAGATGATAAATACTTCCCAATTGTCATCTTCGTATAGAAATTGAATGATTTGATTAAATTGTGACCTGATCTATGCTATGATATTTTGATTTACCAGAGCTGTTGGCAGTTCAGGCCATCATTTTGACAGCATTCTGAACAGGTCTTTCCGCTTTTAATGTAGTTTTATCATGGAACAATTTAGATTGATCCATCTTCTCTAAAACAAATTAAAGGTTGCAGCACACCATAGTTTAAACCTTTTTAAAAAAACTTTATTTATTTTATTTGCAGAGTGAAAACCCAAACTGTTCTATAATGTTTTACTGGGAACCTCTGAAAAGGAGTGTGAGTATATTCTCTAAATCTATGTGTGGAATGTGTTTTAAATAATAATTCCATTATTTTGTCAATTTTTGCTCACCTTAGATTTGGTTAAAATTGATATGGACCATCCTTGAGCAAAGTAGGAATCGTTTCTACGTTACAGGGATTATATGTTTTGTATAAATGAATGGTTTGGACTTTGGCCTGACCAAGTGTAACAATTCCTGGTCACTACAGGTACAAATGAAATAATTTTTCAACCGCTTGTCTTTATTCAATTGTTTCAGTGTTGAAAAGATTGTGTAATTTGTCAAAACCATTAAATAACAGGTGATTGATACAGGAACCTATTTATTAGAAGAAAACGTTCGGAACTGTACATCTCTGAGCTGACAGTTTGAAATGTTGTATTCACAGGTGCGCATTGAGGGCAAGGTTGAACGCCTCTCTGAAGAAGATTCTGCGACCTACTTCCACTCCCGGCCTCGTACCAGTCGGTTAGGATCTATGAGTAGTGATCAGAGCACGGTCGTGGAAAGCAGACAGGTGAGATACCCGGAAGGGAATTAAATGAGCGTATATTTCACTCAGTATTACTGGCGATATATCTTGTGATATAAAACACATTAATTTTGTTTGAAAATCATTATCAAATACTGAATATGGATAGTTTTACAATGTAGAAATGATTGTGATTTTCTCATTGAGTATATCAGCTAACAAATACCCACTTTGGAATGTAGATCTTTATACAGATTTAAAAATTATTGCTGAAGCAAACATTTCTACACTGCAATCAGTTTATCAAAGAATCATAGCGGTAAAATTTCTACACTACAATCAGTTTATCAAAGAATCATAGCAGTAACATTTCCCCACATAAAAAAACTCCACTTTGACAGATATTTGAGATTTTTCACACCTCAGATGGAAAAAAATTCAAAACCATATTCAATTAAATTGGTAAACTTACAAATGTTTATTTAGATATCACGATTTATTAATGCAGGTTCTATGATAGTTGATATCAATGTAGCACCTCTTTTGTTTGTGCTAAAAACACCCAGCTATTATAAATGAATTAGATCAACATTATAACAATTCATTTGGAAATTAAAGTGATAAGGTATTAAAATTCCACAATAACTGTACCATTCTCTTTAGTGTAGTTTAGGTTCAATTTCACAACCAAAACTGTTCCCTGTGGTGTGTATATAAATGTGAATACAACTTTGAATAGATGTCCTTCCTTTGCAGTGTCTAAAGGACAAATATGATGCACTGATACAGGAATACGAAGATGAAAACAAAATTGTTCCGAAACCGGAATTTTGGTAAGAATATTTTTTTTTTTATCTTTTTTTTTTATTTTTATTTTTTTTATTAATTCCAGACATATCATACACATGAGGAACCGTCTGAGGAAGGAATACGTCAGCTAGGGTCCTTTACATTAATACTCTCTTAATTAAGCATACATATTAAAGTTTTATCATTTTTTTTTTATCTATTTAGATGTTAAATATGACCAGACTAACACATGTATTATACAGACTATTCATCTTTTCTTTCATGTGGTAATTTTGTTTTCCTTAGTTTAAAAGTCTCCAATATTTTCCTCAATTAAGTATGGCTTCACACTGTGGCTACTATATAATAGACTACACACAATTTTGGGAGTGCATTTGGCTTTATAGATAATTGTACAAATGGCTTCATAATTTTCAGAGTACATATGATTGTAGTATAATACACTTCACACATTTCTAGAGAACAATGAAGAACAAACATTTTAATGTTGCGATGATGAAATAATTTTAAAATAAAAACGTGTAACCTTTATCTACTTGTAGTTAGCATTTTAAGTAATAACAAATACTACCGGTATACATATTTTGGTAAGCTTTCAATTTTTTTTTATGTTTCGTCATAATTTTTTAACATCTAATTTAATAATCATTATTTTCAGGGGAGGTTACCTTGTTAAACCTAGTTCCTTCGAGTTCTGGCAGGGACAGACCAACCGCCTTCATGATCGACTCAAGTTTCATATTCTTCAGGATGGAGAAACTGTTGACCCTAAATTCACACATCAGGCAGAGGACGGTTGGGTGATCGAGAGGTTATCGCCATGACAACATGTTAAAGAAAAGTGTTTAATGTTGAAATGTTCTTTTGACATTGAAATCATGTGCTAAGAAATATTTATATTTGATATGTGTATTAGTTCCACCACTGGTGTGAACTGGTATAAAAGAACTTGACTTCTCCCAGGTCAAGTACTTACCAAATTTTGATGGGGCTGGTGCTGGTCTTTCTGTTAAATTGAAAAGTCAGCGTCTTAAGTCCTTTTGCTATTTCCGTGTTTGTTGAATTCTTATACAGGACAGCTCTTATTGTAGAATCTGCTAAGGTTTCCAATATTCAGATGTAACAGAAGGTTGAATACGCCCTGGTCATATTGGCCACAATTATTAAAATACTAAGCTGAATTTTATGCATGCAACCACAACGATTTATTGTTTGATGTATTTGCAGACCTTTCAAATTATTTTAACAAGGGGTACTGTATTACGATAGACTTCAACTCTATGAATCAATCACAAGGAGTGTATCTATTTATTGTCTCAACATTATTAAACCAGCTTGAATCTCGAGTACAATGTACCAATTATTTAACAGCCATTGCAATATTGGAGTAAACCATGATAATTTCCATCTCTCTAGATCTCACTCCATATATCACCAGTATTTTACATTAATTTGTTATACAGAATATGTCTATATTATACATGTGGAATATAGTTGTGGTAGGCCTTTTTCTGCCCATCCATTATTAAAGTTTCATATTACAACTTATTCAATAGAATTATGTGACCAAGAGTCTTGATATTAATCATGTCACTAGATGGGTAAAGACTGTTAGGTCACAGATGTCTGAGAGTTTCCTAAAACTTTTAAATAACCATCAGACCTGTATTCGTAATATTTATCCAGTTCTCGGTTGTGTTTATTGTTAAAATCTTACCTCGACCGACTTTCACAGTTGGGTTAGATGTGTTAAAAAAATAAAATGATCTCATCTGAAGACACACGGTCTCAATTCATCTGTCCTGTAGCTTGCTGAGCTGAAAGGCTATCATATTTATTCAAATAAATCACTTTTGCCCACTGTCAGGTACATGTAATAGAGCTGTGATGGGTTGGAGCGTCTAATGGTTACTTCAATATGTCCTTGTGACCAAGAGTAACGGTGGTTGTTCTTCAACCTACCGGTGAAAAACTAATTAATTTGTGTTAATAAAAACCCCAATGCCTAATGTGATATTTTGAATGAAGGTTGATAAGGTGGAGAGGTGATTAAGTCAAAAGAATGACCTTTACCCACTTTCAAGGTCACACATTAAAAAGAAGAAGAAACGAAACCAAGTGAATGATATGGACATTTAATAATTGATATCACTGTGGCAAATGGGTCTGTTCTGAATTATTTAGGATTTAGAAGTTAGAAGTGTGATGTCCAAATACCTTTTATACAAGAGACAAACTTTAGTATATTGGCGTTAGTTGTACCTGATACCGATTACAACAAACAGAAGTGCCCTGTTTTGTGTGGTACACATGTTATTAGGCATGTGAAGGACTCATCGGAGGCATTAGAAATGCCAGCCATGTGGAAAACTGCTGTAGATAGCATAACATGAACGTACGGTGTGCGGTCCATTAACCGTAAACCCTTCAATGTTGCTCCGTACGAGTCTGCAGTAGTTAACGGTATGGTCAGAGGATTAGATCCCGAAATCGACAACATAGTAACAGAAAACAACTTCGACTATTCCAACCTAAAGTATACAGTTTGCCCACGGGTTCTCCAACTTAAAAATCCAGTGTCTAGCGTTAAGGTCCCGGTTAAAATCTGTAATGATAGGGCTAAGCCTATCATTACATCACCAAGATCATTGCTTTGCTCAGTAAATCAGGTACAGGTCGTTGACGACTTGGCTTAAAACCTGCCAGCTACTGAGGCAACAAAATCAGTTCCTAAGGAACTTGGAATACAGATAAATACTGAGAACCTTAGTGATGAGCAACTACTTAGGGTGCGTCAGGTGCTAGGGAATTGGAAACAAGTGTTTTCCAACAGCGCTTTTGATATAGTATGCACGGACCTCGTGAAACACACAACTGAGCTTTTAGAGGACCGGCCTTTTAAACAGCTGTATCGTAAGATACCACCCGGTATGTACAAGGAGGTCCGTCAGCACATAAAGGAAATGTTAGAAGCGGGTGTGATAAGAGAATCAAACAGCCCTTTTTCATCGAACGTTGTGCTGGTTCGAAAAAAGGACGGTTCATTACGATTCTGCATAGATTATCGCATGCTTAATAAGCGAACACGTAAAGATGCGTATACGTGTATGTTGCCACGTTTCGATGACACAGTAGACAAATTGATTTGGTCAAAATACTTTTCCAAGTTAGACCTTCGATCAGGATACTGGCACATCGAGATGGACGAAGCAGACAAAGAAAAAGCGGCCTTTTCTGTTGGTAACCTGGGTTTCTGGGAGACTAACAGAATGGGGTTTGGTCTTGGTAATGCTGGTGCTACTTTTCAGAGAATGATGGAAAAGTGTATGGGTGACATGCATCTGAGAGAATGTCTCATTTTCCTTGACGATATCCTTATCTTCTCTCGCACCTGACTAAGTTGGAATCGGTTTTGCCAGACTAAGCCAACACGGCCTGAAATTAAAACCTTCCAAACGTGAGTTTTTGAAGAAATCTTGTGACATATTAAGGGCATGTCGTGTCTGAAAACGGTATAGCTACGGACCCTGAAAAGGTGTCCGCCGTCAAAGATTGGTCACGACCACAGAATGTAAAGGAGCTTCGTCAGTTTTTAGGATTCAGTGGGTACTACAGGCGTTTTATCAAAGATTACGCTGCAAAAGCACAACCACTGAATCAACTCTCGCAAGGTCATGATCTGCATAAGAAATCTAAGGTCAAACCGAAGGTTAAATCTAGGAAAAACCTAAGGCAAAGGCTCAATGGTTCTGGGAAGAGTCTCAGCAGGTCGCCTTTCAGACCTTGAAGGAGAGACTGATGAATCCCCCAGTTTTGGCATATGCTGATTTCACTAAGCCATTCATCCTCCATACTTATGCCAGCGGCCTAGGTCTAGGCGCTGTGCTGTATCAGTAACATGAAGATGGCAAGAAAGTGATTGCGTATGCTACTCGTGGGCTACGACCAAGCGAGCGGAATTATCCGGCACATAAGATGGAATTCCTAGCACCTAAGTGGACAGTTACGGACAAATTTCATGACTACCTCTATGGTAATTCAATAGAAGTTGTGACCGACAACAATCCTCTTACTTATGTGCTTGGAAAAACCAAGCTGGATGCCACCCGGCCATAGGTGGGTTGGTGCTCTTGCAAATTATGATTTCACCCTGTCGTGTCGTGCTGGGAAAAATAACGCTGACGCGGATGGTCTCTCACGCATATCTCAAGTTAGAACTGACGTTGTCAAGGCTATATGCCAATCAGCAGTCATTGTCGCCCGAATAGCGGAATGTGTGTGACGATTCAGTGTCTTATCTGGCCAGTGGGAGCGCGGAGTCAACAGACAAACTTGCGACTGTTGACTGGGTAAAACAGCAGCGTCATTGACTCAGATATTGCGCGGGTTTCACACCTGAAGAGAACCGGTTTTAATCCCAGGGGGACACGGCTCAAGGATGAAACTTAATATGTCCAGAAAATGCTCAGAACATGGAACACCTTGAGTTAACACAACGGTGTCCTGTTTAGAACCGCTTCTCTTGACGGTCAGAAAATCAAACAGCTTGTCCTACCAAAGCAGTAATATTCCCTCGCCCTGAAGGGTATCCACGATGATGTTGCTCACCAGGGAAGGGAGAAAACACTTTGGTTGGCTAGGCAGCGTTGCTACTGGCCAGGTATGGAGAAAGATGTAAACGAAAAGGTTGACACCTGCGGTCACTGCATAAGAAGGAAATTTGCTATCCGATGGAGTTGGTGTGTATCGACCTTTCTCGGTCTAGAACGGTCGTCCGACGGATTTGAAAACATTCTGGTGATAACCGATCCCTTTATCAGGTATGCCCAAGTTGTGCCTTATAAGAGTCAAAAGGCGTACACTACAGCCAAAGCTCTCTATGAGAAATGTATAGTGTATTACAGCTTTCCTGAAAGGCTACAGGCTACATAGTGATCAGGGCCGTAACTTTTAGAGTGGTGTCATTAAACAACTTCGCAAGGTGGCCGGGGTTAAGAAATCTAGAACCACTCCATATCATCCGATGGGAAACGGGTCAGCGGAAAGATTCAATAAAACACTCATTGGCATGCTAGCCACACTTGATGAGTCCAAGAAAAAAGGATTGGAGATATTATGTAGCACCAATGATCCAGGCCTATAATGCAATCAGGAGTGATGTCATGGGGTACTCTCCCCATTTCCTCATGTTTGGATGGCGCCCCCGGTTGTCAGTGGACGCATTCTTGGGTACTGACCCTGGACAGCAGGGTACAGTAGATCCCTCCTCCTATGTCAGCAAACTTCAGACTAGGATGGAGGTGGCGTATAAGGCAGCTCGAAATGAAGCTAAAAAGAAATCCGAACAGAACAATACCCGGTATGACCAGAAAGATCGGGATTCCAAGCTTGAGGTTGGAGACCGTATCTTTGTGAGAAAGGTATGGCTCAAGGGTAAAAACAAACTGGCTGATAGGTGGGAACAGGAACCCTGTACGGTAATTAACATCCCCAACAGTGATGTTCCTGTGTATGAAGTTGCACATGATGGTGCAAGGGGACGAAAGCGTACCCTGCATAGAACCATGTTGCTCTCCTTCAACCTCCATTCCGGTGGAGTTCCCCTTACAGCGTCTGACCGCAAGGATAGACGTGAGAAACGGACAGTTTGTGTTGCTCAGACAGACTCTGAAACTTCATCTTCATCTTCAGACTCCAACGTGGAGACCGAGTTACCACCCCCTTATAACATCAGGCGTTCCACGCGACGCAGAACGAAAATAATAACCCCTGCACATGAGACACTGTTAACTCGATATGAACCGATGACCATTATCACTGAGATTGAGCTGGGTCAAAGGTCTGACTTAGTTGAGTTACTTGGGTCTACAGGTGACTCCAGTGTGCTGGGCTTCATAATTCTATGCGAGAGCCGGAGTCTGTGCCACGCCTTGATTTGAGCGCACCTAGCTCTCATCAGACGGATCCAGGTAGTCATGCGGTTCAAGAACCTAGACGTACAGGACGGATACGTAAACCACCTGATCTGTGATGGTCTAGTCTAATTTACTGTCTTACATACTCGCGTCTTGGTATTCCTGTCGATGTATGTAAGTTCCGGTCAATGTGCTATCAAACGTATTTATTGTATATGTTTGTGAATGTTACAGGTTTTTCCTACGGGTATAAACTAAATATCAACAACCAAGCCTGTCTTGTTCTACTTTGAAGACAAGAGGTCTACATTTATCTGTTTTAAGATCAATGTAAAAGCCAAGTTCTTATTTAGAGATCAAACCTTTATATTGTGTTTTTTGGGTGCTAGAAATGACAATGCACTGTAAAAGTAGTAAATGCAAATGTTCTAGGTTTGTAATGTTAATATAGATACAGGTTACATTTCGATATACTTGTTAATTGTAAAAATGGTAGTAATCTTAAAAATTGCATGGGTTTTATTTAACTCAGCAAAATAAAAACAAATATCACTTTTCCGATTAAATGGCTTTTTGAGCACATTCATTCTAATGATGCTCTCAGCAAACTTCACCTAGAGAATACATTCAGACATCCCTACACCTAGAGAATACATTCAGACATCCCTACACCTAGAGAATACATTCAGACATCCCTACACCTAGATAATACATTCAGACAGCCCTACACGAACAGGTCCGTAGCTGAAAATGCATTAATATATATGTTGTACATGTTATATTGTGTAGGTATGTTATATATTCAATATGAATATATTCAGCTGTTGTTTTCCAATACAAATGTACCTGTATTTGATGACTCAGT